CGATACAAGTCAAATACACTTCACATATTTGGGTTATTTTGAATCCAGCTTCCTCATATCAAGCAGAAGGTTACCTACTGAACCAAAAACACACTCACTGCTTATTCTCTGGTTGGCCTCGTCCAGGACCCGCTTGAGTTCACCCTTCTCAGCCTCGAGCGGTTTAATCTTGTCACGCAGCTCGCCGTTAATGCCATCTAGCGTTGCCAGCTCATGTTCAGCCTCCTGCAAAGCCCGCTTGGTGTCCGCCAAAGAACGGTTGCAGTCAGCGTTCTGGGTCTCCGCTGGAACGGAATACATACATGTGGAACAGAGCCACGAGGCTGAAAGCACCGAGCGCAAGTAAAGCAGGGCCACATTGATGAATCAGCCGAAGACGAGTGGATCCACTGGTGGATGATCATGTTTTAGTGGCGCCGCGATGTCTTGCAGACAGGGGCTCCCAAGCCCGGCGCATCTATAGGGCCCCTGCTTGCATCAAACCTAACATAAGATACCATCTAATGCATTATCAATGTGCCGTCACAGCGCACAATGATGCGCCAGTGCATGACGCACTGATGTATTACGAGTGTCGTGCACTAGTTCACCACTGTAGCCGATCAGGATGTGCGTACCATTGTCCGCGCCGTCATCACTTTGATTTTCCTTTACCTCAGAATACCAATGCCCAATTTCGGCTCCGCCGAATGGATGTCTCCACAAAACATGATCCTACAAAGGAGAGCACTGTTTCCCCCCTTTAGGGGCCTGCTAAGCAAAGCATATGCGACCCCCGCAGCCACCTTCGCTGAGCTTGCGGTTGAGTTCGGTGAGGTCACGCTCCAGCCTGTCGCGGTGCTCCTCTGTGACCTTGAGCTTGACCTTGACCTGGCCGTGCGCCGCGTCCGTCAGGTCACGCTGGCGCTGCGCGTCCAAGATCTGATTGGAGAGTGACGCCACCTCCTTCTCGTGAGTGATCCTGCCGGAGAAAATAAGTACAAATACTTGGCCTGCGAGAAATACTTGGCCTCATGGCAGTCAAGTATACGTACAAAAAAGTGGCAGACTGCAGTAGAATATTGTAGCATCTAAAGATCGTAACGTATCAACATAGAGCCGCAGTGACACGTTCTCTTTCTCGCTTGCCTCATTCGGCATCCACACACGAGTCCACAACCCTCCAGGACCCCCGCCGCCCTCTCGCCGCTGCCCTGACATCAACCTGTACAATATCCACGATAGGCTTCAGCACAAGCTGCGCGTTTCTGTTCATATCTGATTACACCCAGCTATTCAGGAACCAAAGTCATCGCCCTAAAGGCCGGCCTGTCCGCGGGCCCAGTACGCCGCCCTCACGCCTTGTCCTCCATCTGCGTGCGGAGCCGGGAGATGTCCGTGTGTAGGGCGCCGACGCTGGAGCGAGACAGCTGGCCGTGCGAGGAGGCCTCGCCCCGCAGCCGCTCCAGCTCGGCTCGGTGCTCCTCCAGCTGCTGCTGCGCCTGCTGCAGCCGCTGCTGCACCGCCTGCTGCTCCTGCTGCGCTACATACGGACAGTCCAAAGGCCGTCAGCGGCAGCGGCAGCGGCGGCGGTACAAGGAGGTACGGCACGCGGATAAACTCGGACAGAGTGGGGAGGAACAGCGCACAGGAGCACAGACTGGTAAACATATCAGTAATGTCACAGAACAGGGCTCCAAACTGCAGGAATAATGCCACAGCGCGGGAATGTAGCAGCGCAGAGAAGGCTAGAGCACGTGGAAGATCAGGGCAAAAGGCGACAGAGTTCAGGCATGCACAACGCAGGGGCTCCTGAACACATGGCATAAATCACCGATGATCCAAAACACAGGACATCGGTCTGCACGGAGACACTATACCTTGCACCGCAACTGACAGGGGTGTGATGAAAGGAGGACAAGGATAAAGGTCACGCACCGAGCGTCAGCGCCTGCTGCTTGCTCTCCTCGACGGCCAGCAGCTGCGCCTCGCCGGCGCGCGCCTGCTGCGCCAGCTCGCGCTGCAGCGCCTGCACCTGCTGCTTCTTCTGGCCGAGCAGGTCATCCTGCTCGCGGCTCCAGGCATGAGCCGACTTCTGGAGCTGCGACTCCAGCGCACGCACCGCCTCCTCCTACCGCGGTGAGGGGTAAGGGGGGCGTCAGCGGCCGCCGGCGCTCAGAGCTCGTCAGCGACGCCCCGGCGAAGCGGCCGCCACACCGAGGACCGGGACGTGGCGGTCGTCGGCGCGCAGCAGGACACACCGGCCAGACACGGTGCGAACAGCCACCAGGGAGACCCTCAGACGTGGCTCCTCTGGCACGCGGGCGGATGAATGCTCCAGCGGACACCCAGCGTCTATCCCGTGCGCCCAAAAGCACGCGCGCGCGACGCGTTGCAGAAGAGAGGTACCCTATACATAAATAGGCCGAAGGAGCACAAGAGAAGGGCCGAGGAAAGAGAGAAGAAGTCACCTTCTCGCGCGTGAGCCGGGCCGCCTCCTCATCGTGCTGGTGCTGCTGACTGGAGAGCAGACGGGCCTGCTCGGTGCGCACCTCCTCCAGCCTGCGCTGCAGCTCGTCACACTTCTCACGCAGCTGCCCTGTGGCCAACAGGCGACGACCGCTCAGCTCGGACAGGCGGTCACAAGGCGGGCTGGCCACGGAACGTCTGCCCTCATTACAACACACACCTCCCGCAGCCCCGGCGCAAGGTGACCGCCGTGACCGCGGGCAGACCAATCACGCAGGATGGACAAGCGTTTGTATTCGTTCTCCTCCCAGACCCTCCTAGGTCGAGAATGTGAATGTTCTCAATTCAACGTCAGCTGCTACGTCCGTCATACATTGCTTTACCGGCGCTCACAGTTTTAAAACACAGACGCCCATGTAGAATCAAAACACCTGAGACAGCACTCGGTATTTCTGTACTGTTGCCGGCAGCGCGCGCACCATTCGCACGACATCTCGACTCACCGCCCTCCTGGTCCATGTCCCGCCGGGCGAGGTTCAGCTGGTTCTGCACCTCCTCCCGCCGCAGGGTCAGCTGTTTGTTGTCCTTCTCCAGCTGCCGGCGCGCCGTCTCGGCCGCCTCCAGAGCGCAACTCTTCTCGTAAAGTTGCATCTGCCGACCCAGTCCACGTCTGTCATCTGGTATCCTTGTCCACGACGAATGAAGCCCTTAATGACATTCCGGCCTGTACGCCTTTCCCCGTGAAAACTTAAATTAGTCTACGCCTCCGCCTGAGTATAGATCATGGCTCGTCACAGCATTCCAAAACATATATCCATTTGAGCGACGCCGACAACTTGCGCCACTCCTTCGAGCCCTCAGCGACCGGCACCGTGAAGAGCTCGGTGCGCCTGTCGGCCATCGCCAGCGCAGTCTGCCTGCGACTGGAGCCTTCGAGAGAGAGGTCGGCGCCGGGCCGCCGCGCTTGCCGGTACCTCAGCGTGCTGACTCTCAGCCCTCACGGCGGCCAGCACCTCGCGCAGACTGGCTTGCTCCTTCTGCAGGGCCGCGTGGCGCGCCTGTGGAGCGGGCCGCGGTCAAACCGAGGCGCGCGCCCACCCGACACGGCGGCCGAGCGCCGCCAGACCGCGGCGCGGCTCCCCCATGACCGCACAGAGACGTCACAGGACCACCGAGCCCTCTGACCACACAGCGCTGGTCGGTCGGATATCGGGAGACACAGTGAGCACACGTCACATCCCGCGTCCAATCCGCTGCGTCGTTCCACTGCCCCCGAGGAACAGCGAGCACAGAACCTCACGCCTCTCTTCTGCCAACCCCCCCCCCCCCTCCCCCATGACGCCTCCTGTCCCGTCTCCCTGACGGACCTGCAGTTCACCGGAAGCACGCGCCAGCGTCTCGCGCTCGCTGGCCGTCCGGTTCATCTCGGCCTTGGCGCGCTCGTAGTCGAGTCTGGTGCGCGACAGCTCCTCCTGCTGGGCGGCACGCTGCCGCTCCAGCGCCGCCAGCCGGCTCTCCAGCTCCGACTGGTCCGCCAGCAGCTCAGACACCTGGTCATCCAGCTGCCGGACAGGGAGGGTCACACAGCTGAGGTCACGCGGGGTCACGGAGCTGAGGTCACTCGGGGTCACAGAGCTGAAGTCACACGGGGGTCATGGAGCGTCATGTCAGGTCGGTCGAGGAGCTGGAGGATCACGAGCTCACACATCTGGTCAGGCGCTCGAAGACACCGGGTCATGTCAGGTGACGGAGATGAGGTCAAACGGTAGAGACCGCACACACACCACACTCACGAAGGCTGGAAACCCACGCCACGAAGGCTGGAAACCCACGCGCGTTTACTGCCTCAGCCCAGCTGAGGCAGTAAACGCGCCCTTTAGCGTTGCAGCGGGCGCGGTTCGGACAAGCCTGGTGCGGCTCGGACGAGCCTGGCACGACTCGGACGAGCCTGGCGCGACTTACACAAGCCTGGCGCGGTTCGAACAAGCCTGGCGCGGCTCGGACGAGCTTGGCACGACTTGGACGAGCCTGGCGCGGCTCGGACAGGCCTGGCGCGGTTCGAAAAAGCCTGGCGCGGCTCGGACGAGCTTGGCACGACTTGGACGAGCCTGGCGCGGCTCGGACAGGCCTGGCGCGGTTCGAACAGGCCTGGCGCAGCTCGGACAAGCTTGGCGCGGTTCGAACAAGCCTGGCGCGGCTCGGACGAGCTTGGCGCGGCTCGAACGAGCCTGGCGCAGTACTGACCTTGTCCCGCTGCTGCTCGCTCTGCGTCAGACTGTCCTGCAGCGACAGTCGCTCGGCCTCCGCCAGCGTGCGTCCCTGCTCCGCCCGCAGCAGCGCCTCCTCAGCGGCCAGCTCGGCGTCCAGCGAGGCGCGCTCCGAGCGTAGCGCCGCCGCCTCCGCTGCCATCTGCCGGACAGATGCGGAACTGACGGATCGGCCGCTGTCGCGGCAGAGCGGCGCGCGCGATCGGCGGAGTCAGCGGCCGTCCGGCGGCCGGCTGACTGGCACTAGGTCAGCGCGAGACACGGGGCACACACACCACCGCGGGGCACGGACCCCACCCCCGGAGGCAGGGGACGGTCCCGCGCCACAGACGGCCCGGGCGCCAGATCTTTGCGTCACCCCTGGAGCGGCAGCGACGCGCGCGCCGCTCTGCCGTGGCCCCGACGCAGCATACCAGGATCGGCCGGCCCAGGCCGGTCAGCTGGCCGCTGGGAAGGAGAGCGCCGCACTGGCAACGGGAGGACGTGTTATGATGTCGCCAGGCGAAACGAACAAGCTTCGTTCCATTTGGCCAGCAGACTGAGGCAATACAAACTTGCCGTTTAGGTGGCATTTTTCCACGGGGGTGGCGGGGTCAGGGTCTTCGCAACGTGACACCCTCAGCACAGACCACAACCCCAAGCACCCCCATACAGCTTTTAATAACGTCTGGCTGGAAGGCGATAACTGGCGCCCGTGCAGCGAAGCACCGCTCCCCACCTGCTCCACCATCTGACTCAGGTCCATCTTGTCCACGCCCAGGCCCTCGTTCAGGTTCTGGATCTTCAGCAGGGCGTCACGAAGAGCGGCCTCGTCCGCCTCCAAACGGGTCACTTGAGCCTCCAGGTCTCCTGGGGTCAGACGGGTCAGGGCGTGACCTGGGGTCAGGGCACATCGGCCCCCTACTAGCCCAGCCCGGGATCCGCAGATGATTATCAGCAAATGCCGCTCAATCAACCACCTATGGAACAGAGCGGTCAGCAAATGACTGCTACGTGATCTGCCGTGCTCAAGATCGTTCTGGTGTAGCGCAAGAGTGAAAGCTTGTAAACAGTGACGTAAAAATTGATCTCTACTGAGCTGCATTTCATTTAGCCACTTCAAGCCATTCAACTGAGCTTCGTCACTGGCATTTCGTTAACTGAAAAGCTAGCCGCAGAACCAAACCCATACCCCCAGACACCCGGGCCACGCTGAGCGACGCGGCAGCCGCACCCTTGTCAAGCTCCGTTTTTCCGAGTATGTCGTCCAGTTCAGCCTTCTCCTGCGCCATCACGTCACGCTCCAGTCGCGTGCTGTTGAGCTCCTCCTTCAGGGCCACGAGCGTCTCCCGGAGCTCCGCCGACCTGGCCGTCTTGTCCTCCAGCAGGCGCTGGCTGCGGGCGTTAAACATGACACATCAGGTGCGGTCACCAGCGGACAATGGCTGGGGAAATAAGACATCAGGCATGGACATCAGTAGACATTGCTTGCCGTCATCACACATTAAACACGGCCACCAGCCGATAATGGCAGGGGTCATCACACATCACGCATCACTCCGTCGCCAGCAGGCACTTGTAGGGATCGTCGGACCTAAAAATTAAACGAGCTGCCTGCATACCTTGTGAGGTTCACTCTGGGACGCGGTCACATGGGATCACCCATAACTTTTGTGTATATTATGGCCCCGTCAGGTTCAGCCCAGTAGAGCGACCCAGGCTTAACGGAGAGTTTTTGCCCAAAGATGTTACGATGTCATGTACTGGCAAGGACAAGGACCAATCCAGCCGGAAGCGCTGAGCCTTCACATTGTCGACCTAGGAGACACACAAACCGTTCTCTTGTCAAAGTTTAAAACCACTACAAAGTTGCACTATTCTCTCCTGACGAAGCATCTAGAAGTTCATTAACACACAAACGCGTCATTTAGAGCGAACCAGACGGACCAACATCCTGCCCCAGCTTAGTCCCCCCTCACCAGGATGACACCTAGTGGTCCAGGCCTGAGAAGTGCATGACACCTCAACATCTTTGGACAGCAAAAACTGTCCCCTACTGTTGCCGGCGAGACACGCAGACACACAGATAAAGGCAGTCCTTCCAGCTCGTGTCCACAGTGGCCCATGGGTGGACCAACGGTGCCCGCGTCACCACCCGCCGCGGAGGAAGGCGCTCCCTCACCAGTCCTCTAGTGCAGACTTCAGTCTCTCCACTTCGGAGCTGAGGTGGTGCTGTTCGTCCTCCAGAGCGTCCTTCTGCTTCCGCAGCTCCTGGACACTGGCCTGAACACTGTCAGCCTCGCTGTTGAGCGTCTCCACCTGCAGCACCACGCCAGCTCGTCACTGCCTGCTAACAATCCAGGAGCAAAAACAAAAACGCATGCCAATTCATGAATAAAAAAAACGATCCTGACTCGGCCGCCACGCTTGACATCTCGCCGGCTGCTTGTGGCCAGCCCGCCCCACAGCTCACGTCCTGACCACCCAACTGCCAGGTCAGTGGGCGCCGGCGGTCCTGGCCCGGTCCTGGCAAAAACCCTGCTCTCCCCCGCCCTGAGGGGAACACGCGCTCCCGGTGTGGTAAGCGATCGACAACCAACTCAGCCTGCTGGGGTCATCGGCGACCGTGGGCCGCCGGCTGCAACGGAAGCCGAGTGTGGCTGCATCTTACGGTCTTCATGATCCGGAGCCAACCCCCCGTCCCTCCCTCGCAGGGATCTTACCCGCCCCAGAGCCACATGCCACGCGCGCACGTCGTTTCTTTTGATGACACATGTGCCTTCCGTGACGATAGAACAAGCATCTCTCGCCGTCTCTCCCTCTGCCTCTCAGACATAAGTCACCGAGGAGACGGAGAGACCACGAGCGAGGGCAGGGTCGCCGAGTTCTGACCTGCTGCACGAGTCCGGCGCGCGCGGCCCTCCAGCTGCTCGCGCTCGGCGGTCAGCGTCACCAGCTGCAGCTTGGTCGCGCTCCGCCTGGCGGCGCGACTCGTCCCGCTCGCGCATCCGTGACCAGCGTGCCGCTCCTGCGCTCCAGCAGCTGCGCCTGCAGCCGCTGCTGCAGCTGGTCGGCCTCGGCGCAGCGGCGGCCTAGCTGCGCCAGCTGCTCCGCCGAGCTGTTCAGCTTCACCTGCCGGCCGGCAGAGAGGGGGAGGGGAGGGGTCACGGGCTAGTTACAGGTACGACGCACACCGAGCCCGCGGGTGCGCGCGCAGGCCGGCCACATCAACTCGTGAGGTCGCCAGAGGGAGTCACGTGCCCGGCAGTGACACGCAGGCAGCGACCGACAAACCTTGGGATGCTGCGCCGGCCTTCAGACCCCAGACTGACTGTCAGGCTCGTTGTTCCATATCGGCGTTACTCGGCTCTGGTGGCAGGCCGAAAGCCCAGGTAAAGCTTACGGCATCGATCAACTTCTGAAACGTGTTTCTGACCACATAGCTAGGGGTACGAATCCGGGGCCGACCCGTGACCAGAGGGCACGCCTCGGGGCGTACCCCCGGCCGCCGGCTCACCTGGAGCTCGTGGTTACGCAGCTGCTGCCTGTTCAGCACCGCCTGCACGGCCGCGACGGTGCTCTCAGCCAGCGTGACGGCCGGCACCGGCGAGCCGGCCGGCGCCGGACCGTAGGGCGTCCTGCCGGTCATGTCGGCATCACCTCACGACGACCGACGCAAGTCACGCCGACCGTGTCAGTGGCCGTAAAGCCGACCGTGTCAGCCGACCGTGTCAGCCGACCGTGTAAGCCGACCGTGTCAGCAGCTGTACAGGTCATGTGCGGACTGCACAGATCCAGCCGATCACTCTTACATACGCAAAAGCGTATAGAAGCCGACCGTGTCAGAGGCTGTACAGATCATGCGCGAACTGCACAGATTCAGCCGATCACTCTTACACAGGCAGAAGCGACGTCAGGCACGTAGACGGACCGGTCGTGTCAGTCGCACAGACAAACAATGTTTATCAGCGGGACGGGGAGCTGTCCTCACCAGAAGACTGACCTGACCTGACCTGACCCCACGGTGTCCTGACGTGGCCCGACCCGTGGACTGACCTGACCAGGGCGGTGGCCTGGACGAGCACCGGCAGCCGGTCGGCGTCCTCCCCCTCCTGCGGCTGCTGCTGCTGCTCGGACGGCTCGGCCTGTGCCGCCGCTAGCTGCGCTACCTCGCGGACGGCCCGCGCCAGCACCTCGCCGTCCTGCAGCAGCTGCTCGTGCGCCTCCAGGCGGCGTTGCTGCTCGGCCGAGCTCGACTCCTGCCGGCCAGCGACGGCTCGTCATCGCACGGGCGCTGCGCAGTCACTGGGTGGTTGGTCCCTGGACAGTCAGGTGGTTCCTGGACAGTCACTGGGTGGGTGTTCACTGAACAGTCACTTGGTGGGTGATCGCTGGACAGTCTTGGTGGGTGATCGCTGGACAGTCACTTGGTTGGTGATCGCTGGACAGTCACTTGGTTGGTGATCGCTGAACAGTCACTGGGTGGGTGGTCATTGAACAGTCACTGGGTGGGTGATCACTGAATGGTAACTGAGCCAGCACCGGACATGCCACCGATGTCAATAAAATGTGCGTGACCTAGCACTAGCTATCACTGGATAGGAGGAGCATGCAGCCACGGGAAACAAACTCAGCACTCACCAGGTTGTGGATGATTTTCTTGAGGGATGTGATCTCCCTCTCTTTCTCCCTGTTTTCTTCCCGGCCAGTGGTGATCTACGCGGACAAGAACGCCATGTTACCGAAGAAAGGTAAGACACGTTTCCGTTGCATTTGTATTGGGTGCTTTGGCAAATGCTTACTTTTTTGTAGCTGGAATCAAGAATTACATGAGGAATTGCATCGCCTGATGTCATAGGACATTAGGCGCCGTAGCTTATTAAAAGTAATGCGAAACATTCCAGCGTACTTGGCTGTTGAGCTCCTTCAGCTTGCTCTCCAGCTCTCGCGTCTTGGAGCGGAAAGTCATCTCTTGCTTTTGCATCTCCTGCATCTTCTCCAGCACACTGATACTCGCCGCAGCAGCTGCCGCCTGCGCCCAAGAGCGATGCGTGTTTAGCCGACGACAGTTTCATTACCGAATTAACTGGGAGGTAAGGATATAACCTTCGATTGTCCAAAGACAGGCTTTGCTTGCTCGGTCAAATCCATCCGTCAGATTTGTTCTGTATCTGGTGCAGAGATGCAGCAACGTAAACACAGGTCAAAATAGATGCGCTTGTCCCGCAAAAGATGTTCCAGCCGTTCCCAGGCTACTGTTGCGAGGATCCACTACTGGTCTGGTCTCCTGGCTTTAAACGTCGATTCTACCGTCGATCGTGCCCTATTAGCTGATGCTCCAAATGAGACCCAGTTTTAGAACTACGCTTGACACCAGCGTAGGGCTCGTCAGACAGCTCACTAGCGATGTGATACACCGGCAGCAACCGGACGGGATCATTCACGGAGAAACGTGCCCATCGATGCTCTAAAGCTTCCTCGCCAGCCGTGAGCGCCACATTTCGAGAGTAGTAGCTGCTGATCACCAGGGCACACGCACGGAGACTCACCAGAAACAGAACATTGACTATGTAGCGGATCAACGAGAACATGAACTGAAAATGACGCTTAAAAGGCTGGCAGACAGCAGCGAGAATCAATCCTCCGAGCCCATCCTACACACCGCAAACATCGGCGTCCTCAGCCGCCCCTCCACCGCCTCCCCTGATGGTCGGGCCCGCCAGTGCGTTGTTCCCGTCCTCAGCCGCTCCACCGCCTCCCTGATGGTCGGGCCCGCCAGTGCGTTGTTCCCGTCCTCAGCACCTCCACCGCCTCCCTGATGGTCGGGCCCGCCAGACCTGTGCGTTGTTCCCGTCCTCAGCCGCTCCACCACCGCCCCCCCCCCCCTGATGGTCGGGCCCGCCGCTGACCTGTGCGTTGTTCCTGTCTCAGCCGCTTCACCACCGTCTCCCCTGATGGTCGGGCCCGCCGCTGACCTGTGCGTTGTTCCCGTTCTCAGCCGCTTCACCACCGCCTCCCCTGATGGTCGGGCCCGCCGCTGACCTGTGTTGTTCCCGTTCTCAGCCACCCCTCCACCGCCTCCCCTGATGGTCGGGCTCGCCGCTGACCTGTACGTTGTTCCCGTCCTCAGCCACCCCTCCACCGCGTCCCCTGATGGTCGGGCTCGCCGCTGACCTGTACGTTGTTCCCGTCCTCAGCCGCTTCACCACCTCCTCCCCTGATGGTCGGGCCCGCCACTGACCTGTACGTTGTTCCCGTCTCAGCCGCTTCACCACCGCCTACCCTGATGGTCGGGCCCGCCGCTGATCTGTACGTTGTTCCCGTCCTCAGTCACCCCTCCACCGCCTCCCCTGATGGTCGGGCCCGCCAGTGCGTTGTTTCGTCCTCAGCCCCTCCACCAACGCCTCCCTGATGGTCGGGCCCGCCGCTGACCTGAGCATTGTCGCCGCCGCCGGCGATGCCGTCGGCCGGCGGCCCGACCGGCAGCGCGGCGCACAGCTCGGCGGCGCGCCGGCCCAGACGCGCCAGTTCGCCGCCGGCTCGGCTCAGGTCGCGCTCCGTGGCCAGCCGCAGGTCGCCAAAGTCGCGCCGGAACGCCACCACCGTCTGCCACAGGCGCAGCGTGCGGGCGTGCTCGGCGCTGTAGTACTTGCTGTAGGTCTGAGGGAAGGAGGCTGGAGTTACGCACCTAGCAACCGCTGAGCTAGTGGAAGGTCCGGTGGAGGGAGGCCCGGTGTCAGGTATTGCTGCAGTAGTTACCAAAGGTCTGGAGACGCGTGGTTGTGTATCGTGGAAGTCGTAGTTGAAGGCCTGAGGGGGGGGGGGGGGACCCTGGTGTGCAGGACGCGACGGACCGGAATAAGAAACCTAAAAAAACACACACACCAGCAGATTGCACGCCAGTTCCCGGTGCTCTGATAGCTGCTGAGGTCTGGAGACGAGGGGGACCGAGTGTTGGTAAGACACAGGCCCTGTGAATCGAGGCGCACAAAAACGACACACCACCGAGTGTTTTCGCCTCGGCGGCCTCGGCTGAGCCCTGCACTAACGCTCCGGCTATCCGGTCCACACCGCGGCCCCTGCCCGCACACAGGTGCGCACTCGACGCAGCAGATAGCCCGCGCTTGCCACAATCTGGCACACACGATGGTGATATCGGCGCGGTTGAGTGGGTCGGTGGGCGGCGGTGATGGAAGACTCTGAGGTGGGCGGCGGGGGTCCCAGACCAGTTCTGCCGGCGGCGGGTCCTTCTGAATGACTCTGAGTGGGCGGCGGATCCAGCCCAGGTATGCAGGCGTGCGGGTCCCAGCCCAGGTCTGCGGGCGGAGGGTCCAGCCCAGGTCTGCCAGCGGCGGGTCCCAGCCCAGGTCTGCCGGCGGCGGGTCCCAGCCCAGGCCTGCCGGCGGCGGGTCCCAGCCCAGGTCTGCGGGCGGCGGGTCCCAGCCCAGGTCTGCCGGCGGCGGGTCCCAGCCCAGGCCTGCCGGCGGCGGGTCCCAGCCCAGGTCTGCGGGCGGCGGGTCCCAGCCCAGGTCTGCCGGCGGCGGGTCCCAGCCCAGGTCTGCCGGCGGCGGGTCCCAGCCCAGGTCTGCCGCCGGCGGGTCCCAGCCCAGGTCTGCCGCCGGCGGGTCCCAGCCCAGGTCTGCCGCCGGCGGGTCCTCTGGAATGGCTCCCCATGTGTCTGGTGACCAGAGGGCGATTTACTGACCGCAACGCATGGACTCGCACTGCGCTGCATCGACAGGGTAGGGCAGGGCTGGTGCAGTCCCCTCGTCCAGGTCTTCGGAGGTTAAATTACCCCCGGGGCAAGCCGTGGATAGCAGCCAAATTCGGACCAGCTTGAGTCCATGGCGACTTTTAAGTAAGAGAATCTCCATGGGCTGTGATGAAATGGGGTTCAGGTGCGTGCTGACTACTAAAGGCCATTTCGTCGCCCACAGAAAAGATACATTTTGTGTAACCAAGTGCTTCTTTTTGGCGATTTTCAATGTATACAGCCGCTGAAAAAATGAGCGTTGTTGCTGCCTGTGTTGCGACAATTCAAAACACACTTGAGGTTACGGCCAACATGTCGTGAACCGAACTGAACCTGCAGGGCGCTACTGCGTGCAAAGCCGTCTATGAGCGAAGTAAGAATACATGAAGCAATGACCATCTGATTTTGCATTATCCGTGCAAGGGAAAGTAGGGCCCAATCCCCAGCTGAAGTCCAGGTTGCGTCACGGACATTACACACGCTCCGAAGACTTTCGCAACCAGCGCATCCATGCCATTGACCCGACCTGCCGCTGTTATTCCGTGGAGCAGCACGTCCGATGATAAAGCCTTTAACCCTACACCACCCTCCCTCACACGGAAAAATAAATAAACATCGGTATTTTCGCACACACCACCCACAGACGGATGAGTAAAACAATTAATCACTCACAGCCCGGGAGCAGCACATCACTATGTTCTGGGCCTTGTTTCTTTGTAAGCCTCACGCATGGCATCAGCAGGCATTCGCACATATCGCAGCAACAAAGCCAGAAGCAATCCGCTGAACAGGAGACCTGCACACCATTTCGAAGGGTTTGACCTGCAAAGGCTTCAACAGTAATATATGCGATTAATCACAACATGCGATTTCTAACGAACAGATTTTCACAAAACTGGTAGTCTGCGTTGCGTACGAACACCTCAACGTTCCAAAGAAAACTGAATTTCTTCGGGTTAGAATGACTGTTTACATCCCCTTCGCCTTTTCAGCACTCCCGGTAGTCACCTAGACGTTTTCGCGTATGCTTTGGCGTTCCAGCACAACGTGAAGTATGGCCTGGCCAGGTGGCTGGCGGTATCAACATCATCAACTGGCTTCCAAGTTGTCCCTTACAGATGAGGATAACTCCCATGCCCATACATTGCAGCAGGTAGAAATACGATGTGTTGCCGTTTCGTTTGACGGGGGTGACGGGTGACATTTCAAACCATTTATAAACATGGACATTTGAAGACCGCAAGCCGCCAGAACACTGGGTGACGATGGCCGCATTTCAGTTCCGACGTTCATCTCCTGGGTTCAACGGAAGGAAACGGAAATTTCTCTCCCGACCAAAAATTGTCCATCATATCTTAAAAACGGGGGCAATATCTCCATCACCTGTCCATCCTGCCATGCTGGGTTTGTGCTCTCGTCTTAAACCAAAGCATGTCCATAAAGCTGGGACAGAAATGGAAGCAATTCAGATTAGCTTCGTCCAGACAAAAAGGTAAACACAGAGCACGAGCGGCATTTGTAAAAAAAAAAAACGCCATCACTTGCCCGAACTCCTCCAACTGGATGCACTGACCGTAACCCAGTCCAACATCGTGCTCATTTCTGGGTTGTGCTGGCAATCCAGAAGATAGCACCGTAATGACCCGATCATTATTTGATGCAACCAAACTGCGGTATCTGAGCTCCGTGACTGTGCATGCGGGCCTTTGATTTGGAATTTCAGGTCATGTGATTCGAAATAACACGAGATCAATTTGTCTCACGGTGTGCCGAAAAGCAGACTCGGTCATACAGTGAATGGTACGTTCTGTAGAACTCGAGCGAAAAAGCTTCAACTACAGGAGAGCCTACTCACTGCTTAATGTGCGCCTAAAGGTAAACTCACGGAAAAGCAGGCTTATGAAAAACACAGGCCAGACGCTTGAAGCTTTGTTTATCTTCAGATCTCGTCCTCATCGATATATGACAACGTAAAAGAGTATTTGCTTAGAGAGAAGGAGCAGCAAAACCGGGCGCCGACCATTCAGCCCCCTTTTTGTTGCACTTCACGCCCTACTCTCGAGTACATACAAACAAATCCGACAAAACGGACCACCCCGCAAACACCAGACGTCCCCAGACACACAGCCCACCGGGTCTGGCTCCTACAGTTTCAGCACGCTCTCTCGCTCTTCCCGGCGTCACACCCGGTCATCACCTGCTCCTCCTCCCTCCAGGCGGCCTCCTTGGCCTGCAGGTCGGCGGAGAGCCGCTGCCAGTCGTCCGAGAGCTTCTCGACCTGACCGGTCAGCGCGTCGTTCGCCTCCTGCGCCGCGTCCAGCTGCTCCCGCAGCATGTCGTTCACCTCTGACAGGGTCACACACCTGGGGATATACTCTGACAAGGTCACACACCTGAGGATATACTCTGACAGGGTCACACACCTGAGGACACACTCTGACAGGGTCATACACCTGGGGATATACTCTGACAGGGTCACACACCTGGGGATATACTCTGACAGGGTCACACACCTGAGGACACACTCTGACAGGGTCACACACCTGGGGATATACTCTGACAGGGTCACACACCTGGGGATATACTCTGACAGGGTTACACACCTGGGGACACACTCTGACAGGGTCATACACCTGGGGACACACTCTGACAGGGTTACACACCTGAGGACACACTCTGACAGGGTCACACACCTGAGGACACACTCTGACAGGGTCACACACCTGGGGACACTCTGACAGGGTCACAGGCCTGGGGACACACTCTGACAGGGTCACACACCTGGGGACACACTCTGACAGGGTCACGCCCCTGGGGATATACTCTGACAGGGTCACATACGTGGGGAAGCACTCCGACAGGGTCACACACCTGGGGACACACTCTGACAGGGTCACACCTGGAGACACACTCCGACAGGGTCGTACAACTGGGGACACACTCTGACAGGGTCACGCACCTGGGGACATACTCTGACAGGGTCACACACCTGGGGACATACTCTGACAGGGTCACACACCTGTGGACACACTCTGACAGGGTCACACACCTGGGAACACACTCTGACAGGGTCACACACCTGGAGACACGCTCTTAGGGTCACACACGTGGGGACACACTCTGACAGGGTCACACACCTGGGGACAAACTCTGACAGGGTCACACACCTGGGGACACTCTGACAGGGTCACAGGCCTGGGGACACACTCTGACAGGGTCACGCACCTGGGGACACACTCTGAGGGTCACACAAGTGGGGACACACTCTGACAGGGTCATATACTTGGGGACAACGTCTGACAGGGTCACACATCTGGGGACACATTCTGACAGGGTCACACCTGGGGACATACTCTGACAGGGTCACACACCGGGGGACACACTCTGACAGGGTCACAACCTGGGAACACACTTCTGACAGGGTCACATACTTGGGGACAGACGTCTGACAGGGTCACATATCTGGGGACACATTCTGACAGGGTCACACACCTGGGGACACACGTCTGACAGGGTCACACACCTGGGGAAACATGTCTGACAGGGTCACACACCTGGGGGCACTGGAGATAAATGTTGAGGGTTCAATATTAACCATACTGCGTTCTGAATTCATCCCCCTCGCTAAATAAGGACCAAGAAAAAGAGCGATCAGGATCATGAATGGAAATGACACCTAACCCAACAGCGATTCGGACAGTACCCACACCTTACCACAGACAAAGAAATTCCATAACACAAAAGAGTCGGCGGACACAGCGTTCCAAGCCACAATAGTCAAAAGATGTGGTCAGGCACAATGCATCTGCCCAGAAGGCCACCTGTTAACTTTGCTTCGTGCGGAGGAGCGATTAAGAAGAGGAGTGACAGAGCAGAGGACAGGGGGTGTCCACGCCGGCCGTCTGACCTGCTGTCAGCCTCCTCCACCCGGAGGTGGGAATCAGGGGAGCGGGGGGAAGGGGCATCCGGGCCGACCATCTGACCTGCTGTCGGCCTCCTCCAGCCGGAGCAGGGCTGTCTGCAGGTCGGCCGGGTCAGGCCGGTCGGCGGAGTCGGCGGCGGCGGCGGCCGGCCGCGCGGCGGCGTCCGCCTCCAGCAGCGCAGCCGGTACTG